CCCCCTGGACCACCCGGTCCCCCGGGACTGCCAGGACCCTCATCCAAGCATGACAAGCTGGTGGGTGCCCCCGGGGAGACAGGGACTTGGGTGGGGGGTACAGGGCCACGGAGGAGCGGGATGCTGCCACCAGCCGCCGGGCAGCATCCCTGTCCCACCAACCACCCCAACCCTGTCCATCGCTGCCTGATGCCACCCTCGCTCTTCTCCCCCAGACCTTCATCGACATGGAGGGCTCCGGCTTTGGCAGTGACCTGGAGACCCTGCGGGTGAGTGCATGTCCCCCCCTGCCAGCAGGGAACAGGGGGACGATCTCGGCCATCGTCCCCTCCTTCTCATCTAGGGTCCACGAGGGCCGCCTGGTCCCCCAGGGCCACCCGGCGTGCCTGGTTTGCCAGGGGAGCCGGGATTTTTTGGAACCGCACAGACCTGCCGGTACCACCTGGGCTGCCGGGCAGGGATGGGACCCCCGGGCCCCCGGGGCCAGCGGTAGGTGTATGGGGTGGCCAAGGGGACTCATCCCAGGGCCACCTCATGGTGGTGAGGCGCTCAGTGCCCACCAGCCCCACGGGGTTTCCCCGTGCTGGAGCCACCTCCTGGGTGTCTTGCAGGGTCCTCAGGGTCCTCCTGGAAGAGACAGAGTGGCTGGGCAGCCGGGGCCCAAAGGAGAGCGGGTGAGTGTCCCCTGGGCTGGAGAGCATCGACCTGCGCCTGGAGCAGGGCAGCTTCTACACACCCTCTTCTCCTTCCTCCTCCTCCCCAGGGTGATGTGGGCGACCTCGGCCTCCCTGGCGCGCCGGGACCCAAGGTACCGTACCCGCAACAGGTTTCTTGGGGTGTCCCATTTGTGATGCAGGCTGGAGGCAGGGATGCTGCTTGGAGGGCCACCTCGTGCCCAGGTGGGGAGGGGGATGGTGGTATTTTGGGTTCCTCCTGGAACAGAGCAGTGCTGCCGCTTGAGGGTGCGTGGAGCTGCCAGCCACTCCAGGGATGCTCACTGGGTTCCCACCACTCTCGCTTGGCTTTGCTCCGGGCGTTGCCACCTTGGGAAGTGGGCAGGAAAGCCGAGCGGAGTGTTTTGAGGCACAGAAGAGGGTTTGCTTGGGGGGTTTTGGGTGCCCACACCCCACTGGGAAACACCTCATCTTCTACACATCATTCTTCTGCCTGCCTGCTCAAGCCTTTTTCCACCCTGCGTTCCCCAGGGTGGACGTGAAGGCTTGCTGGGACACGCGCAATCACCCTCCCCTCCCTCAGGGGCCACGATGCCCCTTGGGATGGCCTGGGGCAAGAACCTCAAGAGTTAAGGTTTCTTAACCCTGCCACCATCAGGAGGGTAGATGGGGCGGCCACGGGTGTGGGGACTGATCCTGCCGCTCAGAGACCCATAGCAAAGCCGGCGTGCGTCCCCCCTCGGCGCTGAGCTCTGCCGCCGCATCAGAACTGAGGGTGCATACAATAAAAAGAAGAAAAAACTGATTTATGATTTTAGACGAGCCTCTGGTGGCCACCGTGCACATTGCACGGGGAGCTGGGGCCGTGCGAGGACGAGGGACGCTGGAGCTGGGCGATGCCCATCCCGCAAAGCCCCTCTGCCCTGGAGGCAGGGGAGCATCCGTGCCCTGTCCCGAGGGGCGGTTTGGGGATGCAGGAGGGGATGCGCTGCCTCCCGCTTGCACGCCTCAGGCAGGGACCGTTGCCACCTCGTCGTCATCTGTCCCCCTTTTTTTTTTCTTGTCACTTTTTCAGGGCAGCAAGAGAGAAACGGATTTGTAAGTGATCATCCCTGTGTTTGGGGGGTGGGATGAACTGGAGTGGGGGGCAGATGTGGCTCAGCCTCTTCTCCCCCTGCCTAGGGTGACATGGAGGGCTCGGGGCTGCCGTTCGGCACCAGCTCCCCCGGACCACCCGGACCCGAAGGACCACAGGTAGCCCTGCTCCCACTCCTTCCCTCCCCTCCATCCCAGGCTCCCCGGGGCATTCCCTGCCGTCGGGTCCCCTGCTGTCACCCCATGCTCATGGCCCCCTTCTTGCTGCTTTGCAGGGGGTGCCGGGACTGCCGGGGGTGAAGGTGAGGAGCCCTTCGAATGCCTTCCTCGCCCTTTGCCGGAGCCAGCTGCAGGAGCCTGGCTCCATCCTTGCAGGATGCCCATGGGGATGCTCCTGCTCTGACACCTCTTTCCTTGCAGGGGGAGGTCGGCAGCCCTGGGCAGCCTGGCTTGCCAGGACCAAAGGTAGGAGCACTGGGATACTGGGACGGGCTGTGTGCAAGCACCTGGGGTTTGCGGGACCCCTGTGCTCCCCAGCCCGGGGCTGCCAGGAGGATGCTCCATTCTGCATCTCGCCCTTTCCCACACCTCGTTGCAGGGAGATGCTGGCATGCCCGGCGTGGATGGCCGCCCTGGCCTGGAGGGCTTCCCCGGGCCACAGGTAGGAGCATCAGACCTCGCTTTCCAAAAGCCCCACCGCCACGCCAGGCAGGGCACCCTTCCTCGCTGCAGGGCCACCAGCCAAAATCTGCCCCCAGCTGCTAAAATCTGCCCCCAGCAGCCAAAATCCACCCTTCTGGAGCTTTCGGCTGTTCCCCTGCCCTGGGACTGAGCTCACTGCATGCCAGAGTGCCCACGCTGCCTGGGACCCCATCCCCATCAGCTTGCCACCCTGCTCACCATCACCTTCACCCCTTGGCATCCCACCCAGGCTCGCTGCCTGGACCTTGCAGGCGGAGGGGGGTGGGCTGGCGGGTTTTACTGAGCCACAGGCAGGGGGGGGTCTCCGCTCATGAGCCAGGGTCCGGCCGCACATGGTGCTGGGTGGGAAGCTCACCCCTGCCTGCTCCTCCTTCCAGGGACCCAAAGGCGACCGAGGCAGCCCCGGCGAGAAGGTAGGTGACACAGAGCTGGGGATAGGGAATGGCCGGTGGTGGCCATGCTGCTGATGGCTCGTGTCTTCCAGGGTGAGCGAGGCCAAGATGGTGTGGGGCTGCCTGGCCCCCCTGGTCCACCCGGTCCCCCCGGACAGGTCATCGCTGTCTCAAGTGAAGATGTAAGTGGTGGCTGCTGGTTTCACTGCAGCTTGGGGG